GTCCCCAAAGTTCACGCATTGGAGTGTTGAGAGGTAGGCTCTTGAAGAGGTTAAGGTCAGGAGGACTCTGCTCTTTAAATGAATTAATGCAGTGTTTGTTACAGAATTGAGTTTAGTCCTCCTTTGTGAACTCTGGTAGTCATTCTTACCATGAGATGCCATCTGTCATGTTACAAGGCAGCAGAAGACCCTCACCAGAAGTGGCCCCTCCATCTTAGACTTCCCAACATCCAGAACCATGAGCCAAATAAGCTGCTCTAGCTTGTCAATCACCCACTCCATGGTATTCTGTTCCAGCTGCACAAAAACACACTAAAAAGCCACCCAACCAAGTAACCCCAAATCCCATGGCCCTATAGCATCTTTTATCGTATTATTCTGTACTACACTTTTATGTGATTCAGGAATGTGGTATTCCCTGGTCAATAAGTCAGGAAAAAAGGAATCTTTAATTTTTAATTGTGACACTGTTTGACATAGTTTCTCTTTCCCTGCAAAGGAGAACAATGCCTCCTGCTCATGGTTCCTATGGCTTCCAAAAGCACTGGGCACACAGCGGGTAGCCAGAAAGTATCTGGCAGCCTACGGAAAGATTAGGAATCTATACTGGGAAGAAGCCACAAATGCTGAGTAACTATGTCTAAAGTATAATAACTAAATGAGAAAAAAATCAGTGGAATAAAGCAAGGTTAAAAACTAAAATAGGAGCCAGTTGTGGTGGTGCACGCCTTTTATCCCAGCACTCGGGGAGGCAGAGGTAGGCTCCTGGAGAGATGGTTCAGAGGTTAAGAACACTGCCTGCTCTTGCAGAGGACCTGAGTTCGATTCTCAGCACCCACATGATGGCTAACATCTGTATCTCCAGTTCCAGGGGATCTGACGTCCTCTTCTGACCTCCATGGGCACTGCATGACATGGGTGCACTTACATATATGTAGGTAATACACTTATACACATTTAAAAAATCTAAATAAAACTGCAAGGGTATGGCTTTGTATCAGTTACTCTTTTTTTTTAACTTTATTTTTATTTTATGTGTATATGCCTGCATATGTGTATATATGCCTGCATGCGTGTATTGCCTGCATGTAGGTAAGTGCACCTGTGTCATGCAATGCCTGTGGAGGTCACCTGGGACTGGAGTTACGGACAGTTGTTAGCTGACATGTGGGTGCTGATATTTGAACCCAGGTCTTCTGCAAGAACAACCAGTATTCTTAACCACGGAGCCATCTCTCCAGCCCCTGTATCAGTTACTCTTCACGAACTATCATTAATGTGGCTGATAATTTGAAAACATGGTAGTAATTAATTTCAGTTCTCAAAAATTTGTTGTTTTGCCTGGTGTGGTGGGGTGGGCCTTTAATCCCAGGCCTTGGGAGGCAGAGGCAGGCAGATCTCTGTGAGATTGAGGCCAACCTGGTCTACATAGTGAGTTCCAGGCTGGCTAGAACTAAAGAGAGCCTGTCAAAAAGAAGTCTGTTGTTTTGAGCAGCTATTGTCCCCCTATTTTGAAAAAAGAAAGGTGGCTCTTGGTAGTAGAAGACACTGTAACCATCTTGATGGTGGTGGAATGGCCAAAAGTCACAGTATTTTCAAGACCTCCTAAACTACTTTTAGTTCCCAACTTACAATGGTTGGACTTAATGATGTTTTGACTTTAAGATGGTGCACATGCACACCAACATTTTGTTTTTCACTTTCAAGACATTAGTCAATAAAATAAATAAGGTATTCCATACTTTATTATAAAACAGCCTTGTGCCGGGCGTGGTGGCGCATGCCTGTAGTCCCAGCACTTGGGAGGCAGAGGCAGGCGGATCTCTGTGAGTTCAAGGCCAGCCTGGTCTACATAGTGAGTTCCAGGACAGCTGGGGCTACAGGGAGACCCTGCTTCAAACAAACAAACTAACAAACAAACCAGCTGCAATGAGAAAAAAAAAATAATAAAAAATAAATTAAAAAAAAAAAACAGCCTTGTGTTAGATTGTTTAGCCCACCATAGACTAATGTGAGTGTTCAGAGAATGTCTACTGTAGGCTCAGCTAAACTATGATGTTGGCAGGTTAGGTGCATCAAACACAGACTTGGCTTAGGATATTTTCAATTTAAAATGGGTTTATTGGGACATAATGCCACTGTAAGTCAAAGAACACCTGTACTCTGCATGGCCCTAGGCTCAGGGAAAGACATTTTTGTCAGGGGATCACCAGAAGGCAAGGGCACAGACTCTGGATGTCACCATTAGCACTTTGCTCCTCTCCATCTTCACTACTTTCTTCCATGTAGTAAGTACCTAACGTGTGCCCACTGCTGTTCTGGGCAGGACACAATCTTATTCATCTTACCACAAGCTGAGAGGGTAGGTGTCATGAATGTTCTCATTCATGTGGGAACCTTGTTCAGAGATAGTAAATTATATGACCAAGTTGTAGCTAGCAAATTACAGGTCTAGGACTCGGACCTTGGAGGGTGTTGCCACTTAAGTCCATGAACTTTCCTCTTGTCAGGCTGCCTCTCAGGGCTCAGTGTATATTTGATGGACTCATGAGTGAACCAGTGACCCAAAAGCTTGAAGTCTTGAAAAACACAACTGAATCAACCATGGACCATGCAGAAGAGGAGAGCAGTAACAGTAACATGTTAAATACTGAAATTCAAAGCTGATACAGCCTAAGTGTTGGAATTGAATCAACCATGGACCATGCAGAAGAGGAGAGCAGTAACAGTAAGTAACATGTTAAATACTGAAATTCAAAGCTGATACAGCCTAAGTGTTGGAAGGGAAGGTTCTAGAGGGAAGATCTGAACTCTTTCATATTTTTTGCTGATGCTGTTAAACCCATTTCTTCTTTCAGAGATATCTTATATAATTGTCTGATTAAACTTCCAAGTCCTTTGCAACTCAAAGGGTTCCAAGGTGGCCGCAGCAGCCGTCTATAAGCCTCTCTTCCATTGGGTTGGGCAGCCACAGCGTAAGCAACTGATTGTTGACTACAACCTGATAACCTTTTAAATGTGCTAATGTTGCCAAAACTTGACCTGAGCATATCAATCAGCAAATGGAAATGTGTAATGCTCCAAGACTGAGTTCAGGATAAATGACATAAAACATAACAATGTAAAGGACCATGATCTGAGAGGGCAGACTGCTCAGAGCTGCCTCTCTCTAGTCATCAAAGCATTTTATAACAATAACTAGATCCCATCGCTCCCCCAGGAAACTCAAGTTAAGAGACCTATGCATCTGCAGAAGTAGTCACAGGTGTCACAAAGAGGCTAGAGAAAGTTGTTCTTGCTGGACTATGAGTCTATGAGGAACACTGCTGTGAGATTCTCCTATGCAGTAAGCCAATGATACAATAATGCCCCAACTCCCAAATATTCAAGGTACTCATATACAAATGTAAATCAAAATAGAGCCAGGTGTGATGGTGCATGCCTTTGATCCCAGTACTTGGGAGGCAGAGGTAAGCAAATCTCTGTGAGTTAGAGACCAGCCTGGTCTACATAGCGAGTTCCAGGCCAGCCAGGATTACATAGTGAGACCCTGTCTCGAAAACCAATGTGTGTATATATATATTTAAATAAAAATAGAAAAAAAGAAATTTAAAAATCATATTGTGTCAAAAGCAACACACATCTTTAGTGTTGGTTATTCTACCAAGGTGCAGTTTTGATTAATGTGCCTATGACTCAGCATTTGAGAAAGTTAAAGAGGTCTAACAGCCAAAAGATTCAAGTGAGGTAGAGGCCAAGGGGCGTTACTCCTCATTTTCATTCTTCTTCTATCTTTTTCTATCTTTTTTGTTTGTGGGCCTGGGCTGAATCCGGGGTCTCTAGGCAAGTGCTTTTTTTTTTGGTCTTTTTGAGACAGGATCTCCCTGTAGTCCCAGTTGGTCTGGCCTGGAACTCATTATGTAGACCAGGCTAGCCTTGAACTCACAGAGATCTGTCTGCCTCTGCTTTCTGAGTGCTGGGATTAAAGGTGTGCACCACCACATCTGGCCCTCTTGTGTTTTTTTATTGAGGGTTTTTGCCTCTTGACAGGCACATGGGTTTAATTGCAAAACCTTTCCCCCAAGAGTTAAAAGTTACCTTGCCAGAGCCACTGTTTTCACAGATATGTGCGAACTAGCACCATGAATGCTGTTTGATGGTGGGCTGCTTTATACAGGCTCTAGTGGAGGTTGGTCCCTTTGCTTGGCCTAAGTTGGGAGCCAGAGAAAGGATTCCCCAGCCCAGCTGTAGACATGGCACTTTGCCTTAGTGGTAAGAGCAAAAAGGTTGTCTTCTGCTCTGTCTCCCCGAGAGCAGCTCTTGACCTCCAGCTTTCAACAGGTTAGACCAATGAACCAGAGTGAGAGAAAAGAAAAGGTACTCACACCAGTAGAGAGCAACATTCCCAGTCAGCAAATCTGCTCCAACTGATGGGGAGCAAAAGTTCCCCCAATAACTGGGGGTTCAACTAGGAAATTCAAAGTGAGGGAACATTCCAGAGTGACTTTAAAAAAAAAAGGAAACTATACAGAGAATACAGAGAAAAGAGGGAGGAGGTGGTGCAGGAGGAGAGGAAGGAAAAGGAGGTGCACAAAGCCAGGAGGCAGGCTAGTTAACCATGGGTTAAAATCAGGTTTAGAGAAACACAGTAATGCAGTGTCTCAGCAAACCCCCAAACCCCAAGGTGAAAGGCATTTTTATTTGAAGAAACAAGATGTTTCCTTCCTTCACCTTTTATTCTCCCCTTTCTCTCCCCTTTACTTTTGGTCTGTCTAAAACCCAAATTTGGACCGACCACCATTTTACCTGCCTCGCATTTTGATTTTTCCAGACCCGAAAGAACAACAAGTCGGGGATCCAAAGAGCTCCGCCCCCCCACAGCTGACTGTCCCTAGCCCTTCTCTCCCAGGGGTTACAGGGTGCTCAGAGCCAATGTCAGCAGGACGTGCCACACACAGCAAGTCGCCAAACAAGAATGCTTAAGGGATTGGGGGACTTACTAGTACTTGTGCTGGTTCCAATCGTGTTGATTGTGGTGGGGACAGATGAAGAGGAGTAGAGGGACACGTGGCCATTCTCACACCCCAGGCTTTTGTCCTGCCAGTTGGAGGCGCTGACGCAAATCCCAGAGTCCCGAGAGTTCTGCCACCCATTGAGCTTGTCATCCGAGTTCTGTCTTTGGTGATAGTAGTGCGTCTGCCCGTAATCCACAGAGTCCGAGCGGCCTCGGTTCTGGCTGCCAAAGCTGGTTGATGTGCGGTCCTCCAAGTGATTTAGCCACATGGCTAGAGCACTGCGGTCTTCCAAGGAAGTGGCCGGGTGGATCAAAGCATAGGACAGCAGCTGCCTGCTCTCCTCAATGTGCTGGTTGTGTTCGATAGAGTGTGCCAGGATCTTGGGCAGAAGTTTCATATACTCTACTTTTGCGTCGAGGTTCCCTGGCTTCAGCAAAGGCAGATGAGTTAACAGAAGGGAAATCACTTTATCCTTGGATTCCTGTTGCCATTGGTTAATGATTCCTGAAAGGGAAAGTACACAGGGCACATGAGCAAATACTCCCATAATCACGCTAAACACCACACTTGAAAGTGGAGAATCTCTGTGGATTAGAGTCCCAATTTATGTGTATCCTGGCTAAATTTTCTTAAGAGAGCTTGTGCATGGGATTGGTTGGCTCATGTCAGGGGTCAGGGACTTCAGTGAGATATGGATCAAAAATTCCTGGATGGGGCTGGGGACTTGACACAGTATGTAGTGTTTGACCCCAGGCACTGCATAAAACCTGGGCATTGTGTAGAATACCCATAATCCTAGGCGATAGAGACAGGAGGATCAGAAGTTCAAGGTCATCTACCACTACTTAGTGGGTCTGAGGCAGCTTGGACTATGAAGACCTTGTCTCAAAAAACAAATTCTTAGATGTTTGGCGGCTCTTCTCATTCATGTTTCCAAAAAGACTAGGAGAGTCCGACAAAAGACGGTTTACAACCCTGTCTTTCTTCTCAAATGAGACTAGGCTCAATTGCAGATAGACAGGTGCCAAGACTGAGCAAAGTTCCGGAGATGGAGGTCCACACAGAGGCATCCTTGGGGTGAGGCTGTGTCTCCACCCCAGATAATATTTGTTGAAAGTGGCAAAAAATCTGGAGAAGGAATTTATGTGAAATTGGCAAAATTTCCTACACAGAAAAATGTAAAAAAAAAAAAAAATGGACCCTGCCCCCTGAACTTCTTGTCTCTAATCTTAATGTAGGAATCTACAGTTTTTCTCCTAAGAAAATGTCTCAGAAAAACAACTATGAGCCCAAAGTTAGAATGACTGAGGAACCCAGGACTCAGCTCCAGACACACCTGGGATCACATGCACTAAGCAGGCTATGTATCTTTATGTGAGGCTCTGTTTGTTCTTCTAACATTTTATTTTTTTTAATATTTTATTTTTTTTATTTTATGTGTATACGTGTTTTGCCCGCATGTAGGTAAGTGCACCCGTGTCATGCAATGCCCATGGAAGACAGAAGAGGCTGTCGGGTCCCCTGGAACTGGAGTTACAGACAGTTGTTAGCTGCTGTGTGGGTGCTGGGATTCGAACCCAGGTCTTCCGCAAGAACAGTCAGTGTCCTTAACCGCTGAGCCATCTCTCCAGCCCCCTAACACTTTATTTTTCATTAAAAATATTTTTATGAGTTAAGAGCACTAGGAGCCAGGTTCGGTTCCTAGCACCCACATGGCGGCTAATAATCATCCATAACTCCAGTTCCAGGGGATCTGACGCCCTCCACAGGTATTACATGACATGGGTGCACTTACATACATCCAGGCAATATACTCATACACTTAAAAATAATAAAGTATTTTATGTGTGTGCACACACGTGCTCCAGTATGCTGAAGCGCATGCATGTATATGAACATGTGTGTAGAAGACTAGAAGACAACGTTGGGTGGTACACTCAGGAACACCATCCACCTGCTTTGAGAAGAGGTCTCCCTAAGGCTTGCCAATTAGGTGAGGCTCCCTACTCAGAAAGCTCCAGGGCCCGCCCACCTCCCCCTCCTACAACCATCATGCCTGACATTTTTTATATGGGTTCTGGGGATTGTACGTAGGTCCGCATTCCTCATGCTTGCAAGGCAAACACTTTACCAACTGAGATAGCTTCCCAAGCCCCAAGATCTGTTTTTTTATTATTGTGGCAAAATACACATAATATTAAGCATTTTAAGCATGCAGTTCGGTGTCTATAAGGGCATGTACAATGCTATGCATTTGTCTGTAGAACTCTGCTACCTTCCAAACTCAAACTCTATCCCCATTCAAAAATAACTCCAGCTCCCCCTTCTTCTCAGCCACAGCCCCTGGCAAGCCACCAATCCATTATCTATTTCTAAGAACTGGATTACTTTAGGATTGACTTTTTTGTTTTTTGAGATAGAGTGTCACTCTGGAGCCCAAGCTGGCCTTAAACTCAGTGGTGACTTTCCTGCTTCATCCTGCAGAATTGGAAAGGGTTACTCCTATAACCATAAGCTACAAAACCATCATCCTGTATGTTCCGAGGCCTCTTCAGAATGCTGTGAAAGAAAAGTCTCAGTGCTGGCATTATCTAGAATGTCCCCAAGGTCACATGTTAAAGGTTTAGTCATCAGCTTGGACCTATTCAAAGATGGAGCCTACTTGGAGATTTTCTGGTCACCAGGGTGGGGTGGGGGGTGGGGGTGGCACCCTTGAAATGGGGGAACCCTGCCTCTTTCCCCTCTCTCTTTGCTTCTGGGTTGTCATGAGGCAAACAGCTTCCTTTACCATGTGTTTTGGCCATTATGTGAGGCCTCATGGACTGGGATCTCCAAAATTGGAAGTCAAAATAAACTTTCCCTCTTTTAAAGTGGATTCTTGCAGGAATTGTGTTACAGCAACAGAAAGCTAACAGAGCCAGGAAGGCAGGCATGGTATCCAGTGAAGGAGCATGGTCTTTGGAGTCAGGCAAACTCGAGCATGAATCCCAGAACTTATTTCATGGTGGAACTTTGTGAAGTTGCTTAATTTCTGAATCCCAACTGCTTTGTCAGTCTAGGGAGGTACCAACAGCATCTGCCCTCCTCGTGCTCTTGGATGAAATGGGGAGAAGCATCAAAAGGACCAGTCGAGCACTTGATGGTAGCAGCATCCCAGTCCTTTCTCTGCATCAGTCAGACCCACATTAATGTGATGCAGCTGGCTTTGGCTACTGTTTCATTAATAGTATGGAGAAACCAGGGGTGACATAAAGAGAAGACATTAAAAATATCACCGAGTTTGGGGAAAAAAGGTGGAGAGTGAAAAGGGGAAAGAAAACGGAACAGTTTCCAAAAATAGGAAGATATGCTTGACCGTCTTCACGTGGGAGTTTCCTAAGGAGCCACTAAAGAGTCACTGCGTGGAGCAGAAGTCACCAACCTGCAGCAAGACCAAGAAAGGATGCATAGAATTGGGCAGCCAGAAAGATGAAAAGCACAGGGGTGTCACCATGGAAGTCTATGGAACCCCTGGACCTAGGGGGGCCTGAACACTGCTAGAGCCAGAGCAGTGTGACTCAATAGTAAGATGTTAGCTACATATGGAACCTGAAACTTCGTAGTAGTCACATTAAAGAAGAGTAACAGGATCTATTTGGTTTAACACTAAAATAACATCATTTCAGCTTGTCATCAATATACCTTCCTTGGTCTTGCAATAAGTCTTTGAAAGCCAGAGTGTATATTGTCACCCACAGCACATCCCTATTTGGATGGGCCGTGCTGCAGTGCTCAGAAACCAGTGAGGCTGGTGGCTGCTGAGCTGGCCAGCACAGGCTGGAGACATTCAGATGGGGAAGGAGGGCGGGAGGCAAGGATGACCTCAGGAGGTCCCTCCCAGCTCTCTGACTCTATATTTAGCTAATTGCCACCAGAAATAAGAACCTCGTGCATTCTACTAAGTAGAGCCTCTGTTTTAAAGCAGGTCTGGGAGATGACTAAGATTTAACAGCCCTACACTGTTTATACTTTGCCAGTAAAGACCAGGTATGATTTTCAGTTGTATGTTGTTTGAAGTTTCAAGTATATTCTGTTTGAGACAGAGTGCCACTGTGTCACTAAAGCTGGTCTCCAACTCACAGTAATCCTCCTGCTTCAGCCTCCCAAAGTGCAGGCATGAGCCACCATGCTTGGCCTGGCATGATGAATATGCATAGGATGAAGACAAAATCTATTCAGTAAGCCCAAGGGTCTCAAGAGACAGAAGAAAGAAGCAAAAGGTCCCAGAGGAAGAGCAGCAAGTGTCATAAGCCAACGCTGATCAGAGGCAGCCAGCTTGCACATGCACATTTAAAAATACATTTTGGGAGCAACTTTTAATAAAACTGCATGAGGCTTAGGAACTCCTAGCTTTCTGCCTGATTGTTTCCCTATTTAAATGTTCTGTCCTTCCACCAAAGGTCAGTCTTCAAAAATTAGGAACAAAACAAAACTCAAGTAGGACTCAGAGTACAAACTAAACATGTTATCTCCATGTAACCACTTTCTGCCAAGGATTATCCTAGGAGTCATAGGAGAACGCCCAGCAGAGAGGACTGGGAGGTCGCTGTCCCTGGTCCCTTCCAGGGCTGAAATAGCTATATCCTCAGGACAGACCTTGGATGGTTTGGAGCTGTGATGTGGCCAGGAAGACAGCCGCGGCTTTTGTTTACTACTCCTGGGAATATGGAAAAAAGGATGCTTTCTGAGGCTAACCACACCCGTGGATCAAACTGTTTCTGCTCTTTCTACAGCGACTGTGTTGGCAGCTAACAGTGTGGAGTGGTTTCTGTGGGCCAGGCACTCTTGTAAGCCTTGTGCATTACATCTTCTCATTGAATCTTCTCCAGGACCTTGTGTGGAGTTCTATAACTATACTTATTTTATAGATGACAACAAAAGTATAGCTGGGCAAGTAAGTTGCTCTAGGTCCCCTGGCTAACGAGTGGCAGAATAGAGGTAGGCAAATTAGCTTAAGATACAGAATGGCTATCATGCTAGAATGACCATAAGCTAAATACTTTAGTATTTATGATACACAGTTGTTACATTATATCTAAATGTATATGATCATGTAGCTGTAGTTGGGCAGCCATGGAAATGTTGGCAAATAGACGATGCAAAGTTACAGAGGCAATTTAGACGATGCATTTTGTGGGTTTAAGATAGGCTCATTATTTCTTTTGATACTTCTTGAAAAGGAGCTTGTCTTCTTCCATGAGGTATAGGTTGGATCAGTGTTTCACTTGCAACAGATAAAATGTGGTAGAAACGGCAGCATGTGACTTCAGGGATCGGGTTATAAAAGGTGTGGATTCTGCCTCTCTCTTTCTCTCCTCTCTCTCTCTCTCTCTCTCTCTCTCTCTCTCTCTCAGCTCACTCTGAGGGAAATCAATGAGAAGTTTTGTTGAGAAGTCACTCTCTACCCAAGAAGCAACCCAATGAAGAGGTTGTTCAGGAGGATCATTCTGGTGAGGAACTGAGGC